TCTCCCTCACACACACACACACACACACACACACACACACACACACACACACACACACACACACACACACACACACACACACACCATACTCCTAGAGAACTCCGCCTTCTATCCCTTACCCTCCACCCTCCCCTCCACTCCCTTTGTACGACTAACAAATACATACGAATGAGCATCATTAAGAGTATAGACGATATGAAGTATAGACGATATGAAGATCAGAAATGAAATGAACGGAAGTATGAAGATGAAGGACGGACACAGGCTGTATACGCTGAAGATCTGAAATGAAATGGACAGGAGTATGAAGCTCTGAAGAGATGCACAGGAGCATACCTTCCCTTTTACTCTGCCTCCTGAAATAACGTGCAAGTGGGCCGTGAGGCACACGGGGATGTGGGCAGCTGCCGCTCAACCACAATCAACGTGGGCAGCCTTGTGCGTAAGAGGCACAGTAAACGGGGAGCTGCAAGAACAATGAAAGGGGTACCCCAAGAAAAACTGTCTAATTATAAAATTGCTTTAATATGTTGGACATCTCAAATGCTCTCATTGTCTGCAATAGGATAAAGACTGCTTTGATTCTGAATCTATTCACCTGGGTGGAATTGCGGCTGTTGTGGGGAAAATCTAAAACACACACACACACACACCACTTACCATAGGCAATGGCTGGTCCTCGACTCAAAATCTTATGCGACGCAAGCACTGTCTGGTCTCGTGTGCCATTGTAGAGTAGTCTGCCCGAGTGGTGAGCACTAGAACCCTGTGAGAACTCCACGTCTTATTTCCTTCCTCCCTCCCCATCTGTACTACTAGTAAGTTCATACAGACAAGTATCACTCAGAGAACAGACAGCATATACTCTGAAGATCTGAGGAATAATGAATAGGAATATACCGCTGCCTTTACTCTGCCTCCTTTCATGGTGCTTCCTCAGTCCACCTCCGAACCTGTCCTGTCGAGTGTGTGGGGGTCGCCGCTTGCCGTAGATGTCAGCTGCTCTTCAACTCAAATCCCCTGCAACCCAAACACGGACTGGCCTCTAGTGCCAGTCTCTTAGACTACCGTCTTCCCCCGAACATAACGCACCCTAAAAATGACTGTATACAAGCTATATTTCCGGCCAGATACGACCAAAATGAGCGTGCGTTGTGTTCGGGGGAAGACGTAGTAGTCTGCTCTGGCAGTGAGTACTGAGAACAGACCAAATATGATCTGAAGATATTCGGAAAAATGAACAGGAGCATTCCTCCCCCTTTACTCTGCCTCTTGTTTTTTTTGTTTTTTTGTTCTTTTTTTTTTTTTGTTTGTTTGTTTTTTTTTTTCCCCTGAACCTGCCTCCTTTCATAGTGTGGAAGTGGACCGTTTTGTCAAAACACGGGGACGTGGGCAGCTTGCGCTCAACCTCGATCAATGTGGCAAGCCTTGCTCAACCTCAATCAATGTGGCAAGCCTTTTACAATGAAGGGCCATTAGAGGCACAGTAAAAGGGGGAGCTGCAATAAGAATTATAAGGGGTACCCGAAAGAAAGCCGAAGGAAAGAACGACAAGAAAGGACTGTAAAACAAAAAGGCAGTATGTTATGGTTTTATTGTGCTTGATCTTCATTGCTATAGAGGTAAAGCTGTGTTGATTTTGCCTCTGCTCATCTTAATATGCGTCATGTTGTTTGCTATAGAGATAGAGGTGAAGCTGTTTCAGTTTCTGATCTCGTCATCTGTGGGTGGAAAAGGGGTTGTTGTGGTGAGGGTCGGCACCGACTCGACAACATAAAAATGGAAGTATCGATGCCGACATTGTGGAGCCATCGTTCCTGAAGAAGCCCTTGTCATCAAAATCATAGAATGGTTGTCGATGATGAACATAGAGTGATGATAGAGACGGGGCACTCTGTTTGTGCATGTGCTGTGATTTTGTTCGGCGTGTGTGTGTGTGTGTGTGTGTGTGTGTGTGTGTGTGTGTGTGTGTGTGTGGTCGGGGAGGATGGGTTGGCCGCGGGGGGGGGGGGGGGGGGGGGGGCGCACCTTCTGTACTGCAGGTGGCGAAAGAGGAGAAGCTGGAGAGATTTGAAGTGCCCACAAAGATCAAGCTTGTGGTAGAGCCCTGGACCCCAGAGAACGGCATGACCACCGCTTCCATGAAACTGAAGCGAGAAGTTATTCGACAAGCTTACAGGGCCGAACTCGAAGAGCTCTACAAGTAAATTGCAGTCGGCGATCATCAAGCAAAGTGCGAAGTGCGCTATCCGTGACTGACAAGTGAAGCGTAATCGGCGATTGACAGGTAGCGGTGAACTAGTGAAGCGCAGTCAGCGATGAAAACAAAGATCGGTGGCCGTCTAGCTCAGTCGGTAGACCCCACCTGAACTGTTGAAATATACAGACCTGAGTTCGAGCTCCACACAAAAAGAACATCGGCGGAAAACGTAAAGTGCAGTCAGCAGCGACACAGTAGAGCGTGCAGTCGGCAACTAACACGTAAAGGCGCAGTTAGTGAACGCTGCTGTCAGCGCCGGAGAAGTAAAGCGCAGTCAGCGATGGAGAAGCAAAGCGCAGTCAGCGATGAAAACATGTCCGGAAAAATGCAGCCGGTGCGGAAAAAGGAACCTGCTTTCAGCCAGCCATTGACAAGTAAAGTGAACCGAGCGATCAACAAGTAAAGGAAAGTGCAATCGGCGATTGACAAGTAAAATGCTCGCTGCCGTTGGCGATGAACAAGCAAAGCGCGGTGCGGAAAAAGTAACCTGCTTTCAGCCAGCCATTGACAAGTAAAGTGAATCGAGCGATCAACAAGTAAAGGAAAGTGCAATCGGCGATGTAAAGTAAAATGCTCGCTGCCGTCGGCGATGAAAACATCTCAGAAAGCTCAGAGAGTGCAGTCAGTGGTGAAAAAGTAACCTGTTGTCATCGTCGCTGAGCGATGAAAAAGTGAAAAGTGCAGCCAGCCATGTTGAGTAAAGCGAGTCGGCGATGAACAAGTAAAGGAAAGCGCAGTCGGGGATGAACAAGTAAAGGAAAGCGCAGTCGGCGATAACTAAGTAAAGGAAAGCGCAGTGGGCGGTGAAAACAAGATGTTTCTGAAAGTGTGGTTAAGCGATCGACAAGGCGCTGCCCTACCTCGTAGTCATGGCGTAATGATCCTCCTCCCGACATCGTAGTGATCGGACGGTAGAAATCATAAATGTTCTAGTCCTTGCATTGTCTTCTTTGTGGCGTGTTTGTTCCCAGATGACTGTTTGTCAGTGTGCCGTTGCCGTGACAGGGTTGTTCTCCCACAGATCCCATGGCATTGGGTTGCGGAAGCGTCAAATGTTTATGGACAGAGGAGGGATGGCCTTCTTCTGAGGAGGTTGCTTGGTCCTTTTTTCCCCTTTCTTTTTGAAATTCTTTCTTGAGGAAGCTGGTTGGTAGCTTGCTTTCTTTTTCTTTCTTTCTTTGTTTTTCTTTCTTTTTTCTTCTTTCTTTTTTTTTCTTTCTTATTTTTTCTTTTTTGTAAATCAGATGGTTGGTCCTTTTGATGTCCCGGCCATTGGAAAGACGCATGGGCGGATACATACTTCACATACTCAATCTCGCAATCTCGGCCACAGAGTGTACAGCAGTAATCGATGGTCTACCACTGAACACCCTCAGCTATGGAGCAGCATGGATGGTTTGATGTCCTATCTTAGTCACAATGTCCTGGCTTTCACACAAATTATGTTTAGTATGACCAACACTGGAGATGATTCACTGTATTCGTATCGTCGAAACGCCCTGAGGTTGTCGACAATTTATGGCTTTATGGGCAAATCACCAATAGATGGTTCGTTCTCCAGGCGGAATCACGTTGTCCGGCTTTACTTGTCTATTGGTGGACTACGCACAACAGCGTAAATGAGGGGGTTGTCCTGACATTCTTCTGTTGTGGTGGATATTTTTTATGATTTCTTTTTTTTTTTTTTTCTCTTTTTAGGCATACGCTTCTGTTTTGTGGTGGTAGAGAGAGGATTCGATCTCATGGTATTGTCGAAATGCTGTTGCGTATTCGGTAGTCAATGAACGACGCACAGCACGATGGATGGGTTGATGTCCGCGTATAGTCATCTGTTGGTGCTATGGGCGCAAGGCCACCACCATAGATGGTGTGATGTTCTTGTCCTGTTGGAATCCGCAAATTGGCCGACCGTGCACAACACCGCAGGTGGTGTAGTGTCCTGATGTTGCTGCCAATGGATGGTGACTAGCGCAACACCTTAGGCCGTCTGTTGTCCTCATATAGTCACGATATCCTGGCGTAGTATCCTATTGATGCCATGGACGATACTGTTACAGTAGATGGACTATGCGCAACACCTTAGTTGATCTGTTGTCCTGGTGTAGTCACGACTCACGATGTCATCCGGTATAGACACACGTCCTGGTGTAATGACCTATCGATGGACTATACACGGACAGCAGATGGACTATGCTTAAGACCCTAGAGGGTCTGTTGTCCTGGTGTAGTCAGAATGTCCTGGCGTAGCATCCTATTGACAGACTATACCTAATGCCTCGGTTGGTCTGTTGCCGTGGTATAGTCACAATGTCCTGGCATAGTATCCTATTGACCGACTATACCTATGGAACTCCTTAGTCGGTCTGTTGTCCTGGTATAGTCACTATGTCCTGGCGTTAGTATGGTGTTGATGGACTATACCGATGCAACACTTTAGGTGGTCGGTTGTCCTGGTGTAGTCACAATGTCGTTGGGTGAGTCGCGAAGTCCTGGTGTAATATCCTATCGATGCACTATACCAGGACAGAAGATGGAATATGCTGAAGACCTTAGTGGGTCTGTTGTCCTGGTATAGTCACAATGTCCTGGCGTAGTATCCTATTGACGGACTACACCTGCACAACACCTTAGTCGGTCTGTTCGTCCTGGTATAGTCGTGAAGTTCTAGTCTAGTATCCTATCGATGAACTATACCAGGATAACAGATGGACTGTGTGCGACACCTCAGTTGGTCTGTGTTGTCCTGGTATAGTCACGATGTCCTGGTGTAGTCACGATGCCCTTGTATAGGCACGATGTCCACTTAACAGCTATTGTCCTGCTATAGTCCGATGTCGTGGTATAGTTATGATGCCGTGGTAGGTCTGTTGTCCTGGTATAGTCACAATGTGGTGGTGTAGTCATGATGCCGTGGTAGGTCTGTTGTCCTGGTGTAGTCACAATGTGGTGGTATAGTCATGATGTCCTAGTCTAGCACCCTCTTGATGACCTATACCAGGACAACAGATAAACTGTGTGCGACACCTTGGTTGGTCTGCTGTCATGGTATAGTCACGTCGTCCTGGTGTAGTCACGATGCCCTAGTATAGGTGCGATGTCCTGGCATAGTATCCTATTGAGGACGGACTATACTTAACAGCTGTTCAACAGCATAGATTACCCTTTTCTCCCCCCCTCCGCCCCCCTCCCTCCCCTCAAAAAGAAGGCATCTTAGATCCTGCCATCATAGTGTTTGAGATATCTTCTTCGATCATGGTCCAGTGGGCAGGGCAGCAAACACAGCGACTTCACTGTCGGCGTGTGTGAGCAGAACAGCAGCACTCGTTAGTTAGTGAGAGAATTGGCTGCTGTGCTATTTTTAGAAATCCTGATCCAACAGAGAATGGCACACCCATGTAACTTCTGATGAACAGATCTTGAGTTCAAATCGTAACATATAACCAGATTGATACAGTTGCAGAGAAATTTAGCTTGGCCCCTGTGTGCACAAAAAGGGTGACACTGTGACGCGTGCAAATCGACGAAAAAATCATGGAAACAACCATGGCCGCCTTCGGTTTTAGCGCTGTCAGAAAGCTGCTGTGCTTCTTAGTGACGCCTGGTGACTGAACGATAAGTAGATGTAGCACTTCCTAGCACACAAGACAGCACTGTTGATGTGGCACTTGTTAGCGATGCCCGGCGACTGAACGATACATCGATGTAGCACTTCCTAGCACACAAGACAGCACTGTCGATGTAGCACTTCTTAGCGACTCCCGGCGACTGAACGATACGTCGATGTAGCACTTCCTAGCACACAAGACAGCACTGTCGATGTAGCACTTCTTAGGGACACCCGGCGACTGAGCGATACGTCGATGTAGCACTTCCGAGCACACAAGACAGCACTGTCGATATAGCACTTCTTAGTGATGCCCGGCGACTGAACAATACGTCTATGTAGCTCATGGTAAAGAGGTCAGCTGCTCAAATCCTAATCCAGTCAGAAGGACGAGCTGAGCGGTCACACTTCCTAGCACACAAGACAGCACTGCCACGGTGAAGGCAAAGGCTATGCCTTTCCAAATGCGCTCTCGAGGCAAAAACAGCAATGAAGGGAAAGGAGCTCAAAAAAAGGTTAACATGATTGGTGGAGTTCGTTCCTTTTACTTTTTCAGAGTTTTCTCTTTTTTGTTGCCAACTGTTTGTGGAGCTTTTTTTTTTTTTTTTTTTTTTTTAAGAAGAAGTTGC